AGCCAATCTCATTATCATTTTGATTTGCATCTCTTAGATTATTAGTGACTTTGAGCATTTTTCTATATGTCCACTTTGGAGAAGTGTCTATTTAGGTCATTTGACATTTTTAACTGGATTATTTGGCTTCCTTTTGTTAAGTTGTATGAGTTCTCTATACATTTTGGAGATTAACCTTTTATTGGATATATCATTTGCAAATGTGTTCTTCCATGTAGTGTTATTTTGTTGATGATTTCATTTGAAGTACTGAAGCTTTTTATTTTAATGTAGATCAATGGAATATATCAGAAATCAACCCAAGCCACTATGCTCAATAATATTTGACAAAGGAAACTAGAGCACCAACTTACACAATTCACTAGAATAAATCCAAAATGGATAAAAGACTTAAGTGTAAGACATAAAACCTTAAGTCTTAGAAGAAATAATTGGCAACAAAACTTCAAACATCTCTTGTAGCAATATGTTTACCAATATATCTCTGAGGACAATGAAAACTAAGGATAAAATATACAACTTCTTATTACATAGCTAAATATATACCAGAAGCCCAGTGCACAATATCTGTGAAAGTGGGAGGGAGGTTTGTGTCCCTTAGCCCAGTCTCTCCAATCTGGGACACCTCAAGAGATGTCCGACTGCCCGTTTAGGCATGATCCTAGTGGGATCAAGTCTGAAGAGGCAGTCGGACATTTCCCTCACAATCCAGGACTACTGGATCCCAACTGCTTGCTTTCCTGCCTGCCTGCCTGCCTGCCTGATTGTCCCAATTTCTTTTGCCTGCCAGCCTAATCAAACCCTCACCACTCCCTTGCCAGCCTGGTCACCCCTAACTGTCCTCCCTTGCAGGCCTGGTTGCCCTCAACAGCCCTCCCCTGCTGGCCTGGTCACCACTAACTGCCCTCCCCTGCCAATCTGGTCACTTCTTACTGCCCTCTCTGCTGACTTGGTCACCCCTAACTGTCTTCCCTTTCAAGCCTGGTTGCCCCCAACTGCCCTTCCATGCAGACCTGGTCACCCCTAACTGCTCTCCTCTGGAAGTCTGGTCCCACCCAACTGTCCTTCCCTGTAGGCCTGGTAGCCCCCAACTGCCCTCTTCTGCTGGCCTGGTCACCCCCAATTGCCCTCCCCTACAGGCCCAGTTGCCCCTAACAGCCCTCCCCTACAGCCTGGTCACCTCTAACTGATTTCCCCTGCTGTCCTGGTCACCCCTAATTGCCCTTCCCTTCTGACCCGGTCATCCCTAACTGCCCTCCTTTGCCATTCTGATCATCCTTAACTGCCCTCCCCTGCAAGCTTGGTCTCCTTCCCCCATCTGCCTGGTTGCCCCTAACTGCTCTCCCTTGCTGTTCTGGTCACCCCTAACTGCCCGCCCCTGCTGACTCAGTCACCCTTAACTGCTTTCCCCTGCAGGCCTAATCTCCCACAACTGCCCTCCCCTACCAGCCATCTTGTGGTGGCCATCTTGTCTCCATATGGGGGCAGCCATCTTTGACCACATGGGAGCAACCATCTTGTGTGTTAGAGTGACAGTCAATTTGCATACTACCTCTTTATTATATAGGATTTTATATCATCTCTTTTATGGTTTCTCAGTTGTAATTAGCATTGTTGCCTCTTCCCTTAGCTCCTCCCTTCATTTTATTTAATTTATTTATTTATTTTGTATGTGCTTTCAGATTTGTAACATTGAATATTAGGTTAAATGCAAGGTCATCTTTGAATGGTAAACCATTTGAGATGAGGATAATAAAGAGTCATCAAAATAGATCTCAAAGCTGAATTTTAGCTATAGATGTAGAAATTGTCAGGGTGACCAGTTTATAAAAGCAGACATAATTATGGAATATATAAAAGATATTTCTTAATAAGGTCACAGGCTCATCTTTATCTCAGACCAGATTTTTAAAATAACTTTAATAAAATCTGATGAATCAAAATTTGATCACCATCACCCAGATGAACCAGGTTTAGTACTAAGTCCATCTTGGGACATATATGAAAACATACACTATTTCATGAGATAGGCAATTAAAAGCATATTTATTTTCTGCTTTTGTTTTACATCATTTTTCATTCTGTGAAATATACTGCAGTGAGGCTAATTGACTAAACCCAGGAGAGTGATGGCATCGACACCATGTGTTTAGAGAAAGGAGAATTGGTCATGGCAAAGAAAGGTGGATACTGTCATCCCTGCCTCCTCCTGCTCCTCAATGAATCACTTTGCCTCCCTCCAGCACTCATCAGTGGGTGGGCCAGTCTCCAAGCAGTCTCATTTGTGTCACCTGAGATGGTCACAAGAGGGTAGGAATTTCTCCAATAGACAATGGATTAGACAGGATGTTTCTATCTATCCAGCAACCCATAATCTTCTGTATTCTCTCAGAAGGCAGAACCAGGAAAGCAACCATGAGCAAATATAGTTCCTGATAGTTCCTGATTCATATGTAAATGATGATTCTCATTTAAAAGAGAGCAATAAGTGGTTTTCTGGCTTAATCACCTCCTTTTCACCCCATTGAGGAAGGTGAGATGTCTATCACATAGTTTGGGGGACAGCAGGTAATGGCACCTGTCACTGGAGATGGATTGACAGATGTTTATTAGTCACATATACTCCTAAACCAAGGAAGGAGGGCAGTGCCAGCCATGCAGGCCTCACAAAGGTTTCCCCCAGGAACAGAGGGAACAAACAGGGGTTGTGCAGAGTGGGGTATCCCCTGGTTTCCCTGGGAGGTTATGGCATGCTTGTTTAAATAATTCCATGGCTGACAGAAAACTGAAACCTGTTATTCCAGGCTGAGCATGGTTACACGTGGCTCCTTGACAAGGAGCATTGTTTAGCTGTGGGACCTTATCCAGGATAGCAGATTCGGGAAGGGAACTTGCAGTTAGGCTGTTCAAGGCCTTCTCAATTTTACCTTCTCAAATGTCACAGCAGCACATAATATTGAACTTTAATGTTAGTCCTTACAATGCATTTTCTTGGTTAGGAAAGGGCTCAATCACAGGCCAGCTATTTCTCATGAATATATGTTCGTATATAACGCAGTGTATCTTCATATCTGCTCTATAAATTTGGTTGGGTTCAATGAGTAGAAGATATGCCACAGGATTTGGATGGCAATACTATCGAATTTTATCTTCTTCAAATGAAATTAAACATGGTTAAAGGCCATACATTAAGAATGGTAAGAACTCTAGTATCAATTGTTTAAGGGGGTCCCTTCATATTCTGTTTATAGAACAAAGCAATTTCACTCTCTCTGGCCATTCAGAAATGGAGCCTCCCAAACTTACATGCCACACTGAGTCAAGGGACATCTTCCCAGGGTTCTAGTGCCAAAGAGCTCTATCCTCCCTGGCACGAACTTATCATCTGTGCCTGTGGTCTTTCCAACTCAAAGACACTGTCACAGGTCCAGGGGCCCTCCAGGTACAGAACCCACAGTCCAGGAACTCCTACCAGGCCCTTCAACTCATGGGGAACCTTCAGTCAAGAAAATAGGATGTAATACTGTCTTAGAAGTTTATTGCATCTTATCAGTTTCTCAATAAACCACCTTTCCTTGTGTCATTTTAGTCATTCTGGTTCAGATAAATCATTTTGTTCCAGGACCTTGTTTTAGTTGCAAAGTAATACAATGGTTCATATTTCTATAAAAATCAAGCTCTTCTTTGGTAGCTAGTCTTTCTGTGTTAGAGAACCTGGTTTGTTTGGGATTTTTCTTTGTTTGATTGCTTGTTTTTAAAATATATTTTATTGATTTTTATTTTATTTTTTTTTACAGAGAGGAAGGGAGAGGAATAGAGAGTTAGAAACATCAATGAGAGAGAAACATTGATCAGCTGCCTCTGGCACAGCTTCTACTGGAGATGTGCCTGCAACCAAGGTACAAGCCCTTGACCAAAATCAAACCTGGGACCCTTTAGTCTTCAGGCTGATACTCTATCCACTGAGCCAAACCAATTAGGGCATAGAGACTCTGGTTTTATAGGAAAACCTTTTCTGGTCTTCCTGAACTTCACCACAACCAAGAATTTTTTTTTTTCTGAAATGTCCACTCCATGCAGTTGGTTCACAGCTCAGGGGGAAGCACATAACTGTCCATGCAGGTTCCCACAAAAGTAATGAGTTCCAGATTCCCACAGCGCTAGTCTTCAAGGTCTCACTGGGGATACAGATATTGTTTTACCTTCTAGCCTGAAAACGCAGTGAAATGCAAGATCTGTGGAGATGAAGGAAAGCTCTTCAAATGCAGTTTTTGTCTCAGCTTCTTTCATGAGTACTGTCACATCCCACCTGTGGACCCTGAGAGGTTTGTGACATGCACACCCTTCTTTTACTATGGACCTTCTTCCTGCCATACACACTCCCAATGCAAAGTCTCTTTTTGTGTCCTGATGGGGAAAGAGCAGGGTCAAAAATACAGTGTCCAACGATATGATGTGCGAGCTGTTTAAAAATACTGTCACCAAGAGGTTAGTATTCCTCTCACTCCCCTAGGAGGTTGAAATGGGTGGCTGGGTCTTTTATCTACATACCACTACTATCCTTTCCAGAACTTTCCCACCTTGGACTCCTGTACACAGGAGAGCCAGTGCCAGTTATTTGTGTTCTGTGCTTATTCAGAAAAGGCAGCAAACAAGGACATTTTTCCTCATTTTGCCATGTTCTCAAGAGGTTAATAGAGACACAAGGGCCCGAAAGGTTAAGGCTCGCCTTCTGACACTCAGGCTTGATGCTAGTGCTCCCAGCATCTCAGAAAGTGAAAGGGGATCCCATCACTCACCCAGAAGCCATCTTCCACCAAGTAGACCCCTGCTGTTACTCCAGGAACCAAAGTTATCACATGAGAGCCCTGGAGATTCTGGGAGATGACCCTTGATTCCCTGGCTGTGCTCATCAGCCATTCCTGGAAGGAGACCATTGGCAACTGTGGGAATGGAGGTGTTTCTAGGCTTGCCTTACTCACTTATATCTGACATTTCAGTAAGGATTGGATATGTACCTTCTGCAAAATACAAGTGCCTTCAGGAAATCCACAACATGCCAGCTATGCTGAGATCATAGCGAGACGGATGGGGCCCAAAGAGAAATCGGTGAGTTGGACTTGATCCAAAACATTTTCTTTCTACTCACATGAGAAGTCAAACAGTCAGGGGTGAGGGCAAGGGTTGCAAAGGGTGCCTGCTCTTCTGACCATGCCTCAACCACTCTGAAAATTCACCAGAACCTGTTTGCAAAAGTAAAAAGAAAAAAACAACTGCTCAGCTATTGCATGTTACTGTCCAAGAGCAATCCCTGTTTGGGGAAACTTCCAGAAGTCTACTGTGATCATGCATCTGTTGGGGCATGCATATGGGCTCATTCTCGCCAAGCTGCATTTCATTCACAATCTCCTTCTTTTGCAGAAATGTGTGTTCCTCCTCCTAAAGCTCTATTGTCATTTAGAGAAAAACATTTTTCAGAATATTCCAGATGAACATTATGTGAGTAACAACAACAAACCATGATTTCAAACTTCTGTAATGTTATCCCACCTTGACATGGTCACTGTGGGATCTGTGATATGAAGCCCATGTGTGGGAAAGCATGTGACCTGTCTTTCCATTTACCTTGTATTTCCTCTAGATGTTATGAAAATTTACAGAATGTAGACATTGGACTTTCTCAGTAATGCTTCTATTGATATATTTTTCACCAGGTTCAAAAGGCTTCTCAATGCCTAGAGACACTTAGGAAATTGGATGAAATCAAGAATAAACTAAATGGAGGATGTTTTACCAAAGTGAATGGGTTAGTGGTTGACATGAAAAAAATCTGTCAGGATTCTAAGGTAAGTGGTTCTCCCTACCTCCATTTCATTTTCTACACATTGAGTCACTCTGCCTGCATTTCCTGATACTGGGAGGTTTTAGAGTTTCCATCATCCAATGGCAAACCTATACAAGCAAGGATTCAGGGAGTGGCTGGGTTTTTTAATTGAGGATTTAAGCTCACCAGAGAGAGAAACAGTGAATAAGGCGTTGTCCCTGCAACCAGACTCCAGGCACCTGAGAGCCCATTTCTCTCCTCAAAGGTGACAGGTGCCCATTGAGAACAGTGATGCCCTCCCTGTTCCAAACCTAAGGAGAAAATTACTTCCTAAAGTCATGTTATCCTTTTTATCTCTCCCTCAAATATACTCAATCAGACCTCTCAGAGGCCCCAAACTGCAGATTTCTTTGCATGTAAATGAACCATATAATATATCATCAGTGGGGAATAGAATTGACAATGTAAAAGGAAGATCATTGATTATACATCTGTAATATTTGATTATCACTAAGGCCTTAGATTACTTTTCTAACTTTCAATATAAGAAGCAAACCAAAGCCAATGATTAAGAATCATCTGTGTAGTTATGATTTCCCATTTCTGCCTGGACCACAAAGCTTAATCATGCTCTTAGGAAACAAAAGGTACTCTTAGGTGGTTAAGATTTTTGTTTTATTGTGTTTTTTTAAATAGATTTTTATTAATTTCAAAGAGAAATGGAGAGGGAGAGAGAGACAGAAACATCTATGATAAGAAAGAATCATTGATCAGCTCCTTCCTTCATGCCCCACACTGGGGAAAAAGCCCACAACCCTGGCATGTGCCCTGACCAGAAATAAACCATGACCTCATGGTTCATAGGTGGATGCTCAACCAATGAGCCATACTGGCAGGGCTTAGCTGCTTGAGTTTTTAAACTTAATCTACTTAATGTAACTTAGGTGTTTAAAATAAGAGTTCTGATCATTTTCCATTGCACATTGTCTAATAACAACGATGTTGTCATTATTTTTGTTTGTGTGTGTTTTTCCCCCAGCACAATGACTCAGTTCTAACAGAAGAGGAATTTGAGAAGAATTTCAAAGAAGTCTTTTCTATTCAGTAAACAAATCAGAAGAGTTCACTGGTAATGGATGCTGTTGATACCCTGGAAAATCCTGCTTTCAGGCAAATTTCTCATCCCCCAGCTGCTATGAGCATTGGCTACTTATGCCATCTCCCCCTAGTGTATCAATATGGGCCAAATGGAGACAGATTCACTCAAATGTTAAATCTCTTTGTGCTGGAGTTGGTTCCCAGCACCAAGGTTGAACCAACCATGTTGAGTGATTCGTGTTCCTGTGCTCCCCATGGCTGAACTAGTCTCCAGCTATGACCACATCCTTGCTTCGCATTTCCCAGCACAGTGTGCTGCTTCCCTTATCCCCCCTCCTCTTGAGAAAATTCTCACAATAAATCACTGACTAAAGAGACTTTGTCTTAGGCTTTGCTTTCAGGGAACCCAACTTCACATTATGATCTAGCAAGCCAGACCTAAGCTTGGAGTTCTGAGCTGGATCACTGTCTAGCCAGCTGGCAAGAGGGGGGATATTGATAGTCCATGAGGTACTAAAACAGTGCAGTTGCAGAGCACATTCACCTGTATAAATGAGATATTGGGAAACGGTATTGAGGCAATTGTCTAATATTTACAAAGAAATAGTAACTATAAGAACAGTGTGAGAAGATGGCTATTTCTTTTTTAAAAACTATTATACATATGATTTTATTAGTTTCAGAGAGAGGAAAGTTGAGGGAGAGAGATATAAAAACATCAATGATGAGAGAGAATCATTGTATGACTGCCTGCTACTGGGGATTGAGCCTATAACACAGGCATATGCCCGGAACAGGAATTGAACTATGGCTCCATGCTCAACCAGAACCACACCAGCCTGGCTAGGTGGCTATTTGGAAGCTCATTTGCTTATTTAAAGTGTTAAAAAAAAGTACATGACAAATTACATATATATATATATATATATATATATATATATATATATATATCAATTACCACCTGTATATGGAAGGTACACAATATGGAAGGCCTGGTGCATGTCCTAATTTTAAGAATGATGGACTTCTGCCAAGCCAGAGTGTCTCAGTTGGTTGAGCATCCTCTTGTGCAGAGAAAGGTTTGCCTCATGGCATATACCTGGGTTATATGTTAGGTCCTGGATCAGGACGTGTATAAGAGGCTACTGATAGATGTTTCTCTTTCTTATCTATATTTCTCTCTGTGTCTGTTTCTCCCCCTTCCTCTGCCTAAGCATGTGCTTGGGTGAAGATTATATATTAAAAAGAAAGAAAGAAAGAAAGAAAGAAAGAAAGAAAGAAAGAAAGAAAGAAAGAAAGAAAGAAAGAAAGAAAGAAAGAAAGAAAGGAAGGAAGGAAGGAAGGAAGGAAGGAAGGAAGGAAGGAAGGAAGGAAGAACGAACAACAGAACTTCAGAGAAGACTGAATTCTAAGCTCATGTTGGCCTCATGTGCCCAATCCCTGATAAAGAAAACACCAAGCCCTGAAACTCAGAATGGGGCTAAGTAGATGCATCTGAAATCTCTGAACTCTAGATCCTTCTGAACCCACTGTCCTGCGAAAGAGATCCCTGTCCCTGTTGGAAGATAGACCACTTCCTTACCCTCCCCCCCACTCCATATGCCTAAACTAAAATTATGCAGAGTTGTCTCAGCATGACCAAGCGAGAAATAATCTAGATGAGCCTGCTAGCTGAAGAGCTAGTTTATTCCAACAGAACTTCAGTTCTGGCCAACATGTACTACCTGTCACAGAAAGATGAGTCATTTGTGTAATGGGCAACAATAGGTCATCAAAAGAGATTACATATTGATGATCAGGTGGTTGAAATAAGCATCCCCATCCCTATTTTATATTATAACATAGTTTTTTTCAGGATTCACTCCTACACACAACCACTAACCATTGCTGTCCAGTCAGTCCTGCTCCTTTAGAAAGCTCACCCAGAGAACCCAGATAGCCATGGTAACCAGCCGATGGTTCAGGTGATCCATGCAAACAGATCTCCTACTCTATCTGTAGTGCGAATGGCCCTATCCAATTGACTAATACAGCCTATGCCCTCACCCATTCAGGCAGTTTAGCAGTAAGCCCAAACAATCATGAAGCAGAGCCTGTAGCTCTACCCAATGAGAGAGCCTGGAGGTGATTCTGCCCAACATGGAACAGTCTCTATCCCCATCCAATGCAGTATGCCATTGGAGGCCCCTCTCAATCAGAAAATTTTACCAATAACCATGTCCAGCATCAGAGAACAGCCAGAAAGTTCACTTATTGTGAAGCCCACCTTGTAACAACCCAACTTCAGGGAGCAATCATTGGCATCACCAGATCTCAGGTCACAATCTAAGGCCCAGTATGGGTGTGAAGCCCTTACAGTAGCCCCAACTGAGCATTAAGTCTAGCCAGAGACACCATCAGGCTAGGGAACACAGCTTAAAACTCTACCCAACAAGGAGCTACTGCAGAGCCCAGCCTGTAACCCTGAAAAATTACAGAGTCCATCTAATGGCACCACCATGCCACAAAACACAGCCTGAAACCTCAGTCAACAACAGGTGATCCAAAGCTCAGCAAGTGCACCCATCAAGCCACAGAGTACAGCCAGCACTTGTGCCTGATCAGGGAGCTCAACCTGCAAATCCACCAAACCACAGATCTCAGCCAACATCCAAACACCAACCTCAGAGCACAGTCACTAGCCTTCCCAACTGAGACCCTGATAACATGCCCCATCTTCCCATGGGTGCTACCAGCTATTCCTGTATGGTATTCCAATCCTAACTGACTGATGAAGGCATTTTCCTGGTGAAGTGAACCTGTAAAGTCTATGAGAGGAGATTGCTTAGTTATATGCACTGATACCAACACAAGAATCAAGGATCATGAATATTCGGGGAAACATTGCACTACAAAAAATAAACAAACAAAACAAACACTAATAAATTCTAATAACTACCCTTAAAGAAATTAGGATATATAAGTTGTCTGAGAAAAAATTTAGAATAATCCTCTTAAAGAAGTTTGGTGAACTATAAGAACCCATAGACATACAACTAAAAAATAAATAAATAAACCAAATGAGAAGTTTAACCACACAGAGAAACTATAAAAAGAAACCAGTCAACTAGCAATTCCTGGTCAGGGTGCATACCTGGGTTGGGGGCTCATTCTCTAGTGGGGGGAGTACAGTAGCAGCCAATCAATGGTTCTCATCATTGGTGTTTCTATCTCCCTTTCCCTTCTTCTCTGAAATCAATAAAAATATATTTGTAAGTCTAAATAAATGAAACTTGTTAAGTGATAGGGAACAAATTTATTGAAATCAATAAGAATCGCTCTTCTGGAATTATTGATTTAGGCAGAAGTCCTTTGTTCATCCTTCTCTGAGTGTATCCCACTGAGTTTCTCCGTGCAGGGACAGTTTAACTGATCCTTTTCTCACGGTGGAGCCTCCTTATGCCATCCCACTCCTGTCTCACAACCACTGAGTCTTCATGAAGCTGCAGGGGCCACCTCCACTGCTTCTGTTGTGTTCAGGAACTCTGCGGTCCCACCCATGGGTCCTCCACTCAACAGAAGCACCCACTTACAAGCCAAAAGTAGCAAAGACTACTGCCCAATGGGCATCTCCTGTGTACTGAGTGGAGATAATCAGAATGAGCTAAGTACACGACTTTTCTTGCTACATATGCATCGCTTGACTATCCTAAGATTCAGTACATTCACCAACTGGTGGTCTGTGAGGTCCAAAAGGTTGGGGACTGCTGGTTTAAAGAAACCTTTGGAGCAGTGGTCATCAACTGGTGGTCCGTAGCCCACTGGTGGCCCATGAGGTGCGAAAGGGTCACCATGACTAGTAATGGGTGAAGAGCGAACTTGCAGAAATATTAGGAGTGGGATTTCACTGTTGATTCAATGTCTTCCTTCTCTGGTACACCCCAGCTTCTTGTGGTGCCCAGCCCAGCTAACACTCCGGGACTCTCTGGGAGAGCCCATGTTGAGGTAACTCCCAAGAAACATTCCTTCCCCCTTCCTGAGAGTAGAACTGACACCTACAGCCTTGTTTTTTTCTTATGAGGCAAGTCTGATGTGGAAATGCCTGGTCCCAGTGAAGGCAGCAAGATCCCACCAAGATTCCCAGGATTAAATGTGATGAACCCTGTAAAAGGTCAACCTGATTTTTTAGTCAAGCCGTTGGGCATTTGAGTCAATAAGAGTTAGATGAGGCTAAGACATTGAGGTTCAGATCCTCTTGGAGGCAGAGAGCCCTAATGGTGGGGGAAGGGGAAGACAATCCCCCAAGGAGACAAATTATTTTTTCCTTGATTTTTTTTTTTATTGAATAAGGTATTACATGTGTCCATATCCCACTTTTGCCCACCCCACCTCACTCCCATACATGCCTTCATCCCTCAGTGTCTTGTGTCCATTGGTTATGTATATATGCATGCATACAAGTCCATCGGTTGATCCATTACCTCCCTCCACCATCCCCAGCCATCCCACTGTAATTTGACAGTCTGTTCAATGCTTGTCTGCCTCTGTATCAATCTTTTTGTCCACCACGTTATATTCTTCTTTATTATCCATAAATGAGTGATATCATGTGGTATTTCTCTTTCACTGATGGCTTATTTTACTTAGTATAATGCTCTTCAGTTCGATCCATGCTGCTGCACATGGTAAGAACTTTCTTTTTTAAAGCACTGTAGTATTCCATTGTGTAGATGTACCATGGTTTTCTAATCCACTCATCTGCTGATGGGCACTTAGGCTGTTTCCAAATCTTAGCTATTGTAAATTGTGATGCTATGAACATACAGATGCATATGTCCTTTCTGATTGGTGTTTCTAGTTTCTTGGGATATATTCCTAGAAGTGGAATCACTGGGTCAAATGGGAGTTCCATTTTTAATTTTTTTAAGGAAACTCCATACTGTTCTCCACAGTGGCTGCACCAGTCTGCATTCCTACCAGCAGTTCACGAGGGTTTCTTTTTCTCCAAATCCTCACCAGCACTAGTCATTTGCTGATTTGTTAATAGCCATTCTGACAGATGTGAGATGGTACCTCATTTTAATTTTGATTTGCATCTCTTAGATAATTAGTGATTTTGAGTGTGTTTTCTTATGTCTCTTGGCCTTCCTTATGTCCTCTTTCAAAAATATCTATTTAGGTCCATTGCCCATTTTTTTATTGTTTATCTTCCTTTTGTTAAGTTCCCTTTAAATGTTGGTGATTAAAACCTTATTGGAGATAGCATTGGCAAATATGTTCTCCCATACAGTGGGCTTTCTTATTGTTTTGTAGATAGTTTCTTTTGCTGTGCAGAAGCTTTTTATTTTGATGTGCTCCCATTCATTTATTTCTCTTTAGTTCCCATTTCCCTAGGAGC